TCGCTTACTAGGTAGTGACTATTTTCAGTACCAGTCGCTAGTAAAGTAGCAACGACCTTGGCTATTAATTGGTATAGTAATAGCGACGAAACCTAGTACTACTCGCTATCATCATACCAATCCCTCTTTTTCAAAATTTTTTTTTTAATTTTTCTTTTACCACAAAGAACTTTTTTTCGTTTTGAAGCAAAATTGATCATTTGGCCTTTTTTCAAGGGTGTTGGTAGAAAATTGATCTTGTGGTTCCTCTGTCGTCCCAAATGCGGATTGATCGGAACAGTGGTGAGGCCATCATTGTTCCACTCAATCAAATACGACGAAAGAATCATAAGATCAAAATCTATTAACACCCTTGCAAAAAGACCAAATGACCGATTAATGATTCCAAATTCCAATGTCAATTTGATTCGCAAACCAACTCCACAAGCAATCTCAAAAACCGACTGATGGAGTTGGCATCCATGATCAGAAAGCAAGACGGTAGCGTCGTGAAAGGGGCTGCTGTTAGCGCCACTTCCACTTACTGTTGTAGTATACATTCCTATTCTCCTAATTTTATTTCAACCTGTTAACTGGTTTGAACAACCTACCCTAGCTGACCCATACCCGTCAACACGACTCCTTCAGTGAGTCCCTGAAGATATGAAGTTGACCGGTGCTTGGTAGTTTCAAGATTGGTGAAGTATGTCGTACAAACAAGATCAATGCAATTTTGCTTGGACAATGACTGGCGGCATCAGCAGATACAGAAGGAAAAAGAGACGCAGTGTTTATCATGGTTCGGCACAAATTTGTGCTCTTCAAAGTAAGACAATACAACGTATAGAATCTAACCAAGATAATGTGAACACAAAAGCTGAATTTCTATAAGGTGTACGCATAACAGTGCGCGGGAATTCATCGCCCTCTAGTCTCTACAAAATCATATATGTTTCATACTCCACACTGTTTCCGGCACACTGCACAGTTGCGTTTAATAAACTCCTTTGTTTTTCTTTGGCAGCTACCCCAATCAGATCTGGTTAGAAGTCCAAAAGGCCAACTCTAATCTTCCTTTTCTCCAGATCTGTGCTCTTTGCTTTCGGCCTCAACGGTTGAGCTTGTAGCGCGATCAACCTGATCTCCAGTACGAGCCACAGGGGATTCGTCGTCTTCTTTATTGATTGATCGAATAAGCATCATTACTATAACCACAAAAACGATTATGTACACAGTTCCAATCCCTATAAATGAAGTCATAAAGCTCGCAAATGATGGACCGCCAATTCTTTCCTTTATTATTCTTCCTTCCTTGTATCCTTGTATAAACTGCGAGACTTGAGATGCCTGATCTTCCTCATCAATGCTTTCTGACCCATTTACCTATTTTACAAAATAACGTTAAGGAACATTACATGTTTTGAATTTATACCATCCAAAGCAGCAAAAGTCTCAAAAATACAAGTGAAATAGCTGAAACAAGGAAATCTTGAAGCGGCAAACCTAACATTAATACACATGAGACGTGCTGAAACAAGAAAAACATCAGAAGAAACCAAAAACCCAAAGAAAAACCAAAGTTAAAATCAGCCCAGAGAGCTACAGAGCACCTGTCCAATCATGAAAATCCAGAGAGAGAGAGAGAGAGAGAGAGAGAGAGAGTTCATACCCATGTTCACCTAAAACGACTTTCTCTTTGCATGTCCATGCCACTAATTTATATTTCCATTTTATATATTTAATCTATGTACTATGGGGGGACATCAGTTGGTGGATTGTAGCATTGTTGTTCTGAGAAATGGAACCCATCAATAAAAAGGAGGCTAAGGTGGGTATGGTGGAATTGTTGTTCAAAGAGGCTCTCTACAAGGAAGGAAATAAAGACGAAAGAGGATTAACCTTTCACAAACATCTTCCCCAAAAGCAAACGCTCTTCCCATTAGCAATCACAATTTTTCATCAAAACTAAATTCAATATATAATGAATATCATACGGCACCAACGATCACAAATTATCTACTCGAAGATATGAAACATAGATTCACCAAAATTTAGCATGGAGATCTAAAGAACATATATGTCTTAACTAATTACTTACTGTAATGTACTCCTCCATTCGATCCCAGACAACCATTTTTGGTAGTTTCGTCTTCTTGTTGGCTCCAAAGGTATCAGCAAAGTCTTCCCACTGTTTGATCCCAACATAACCAAATACAAAGTCCCGATTTGCAGATGCCGCTGATTTTAAAATATTGATAAGTTTCTTAGACTTCTCTTCATCCTCATCTTCCACGATTGTCAAAACAATTTTTCTTTCATCATCACTCAATGACTTTAATGTCTCATAGTTTATGGGCATGGCCAAAGGGAACAAACTTTGTCTTATAAAATCTTCCAAAAACTCCTCTGCATATTCAAAAAATAAAATGTAAGAGACAAAGAAGATGGCTAGAGATAGATGATTCATGTTTGAGCTTTACTAAATGACCGGTGAGCTTTACAAAACATTTAATGAAGGTTTCCTTCAACACCATGGCATAAATGGTATGCTCACATTAGAGAAAGTTTAACTTTGGAATGAAATTTGAGGGCAACTTCTAAACTCACCATGTGTCTAACTCTTAATAAACAGATAGCCATTGTCTCCGCATAATCAAATCTAATAGGTAAATAAACTAAAGTGAGGATACAAAACGCTATTATCTTGTCTGGAACGGTTGTGTTTGTTTTTGTTTTTTTTGGGGAGGGGGGTGTGGGCGGCGGGGGGCTATTACCCTCATCTTACCTCTTTGATTTTTAAAGTAGAAGCTTTCGCTTGAAGAAGGTGCGTCCTTTATTTTTATTTGGAAGGACTTCACAAGCAATGGGTTTTTGTCCACATCTCAAGCATAAAAGTGACTAAGGCAAGAATAGGGTGCTAACAAAATGGCATGAAAAGCACTCTCACAAAGCTTACTCAACCACACCTATGACTTCATGTCTAAATGTATTCTTCCTTACAAAAAGACGGATTCTATAAGCAATGCAAGTTGAAGAAATGCTTGTAAATTTGCAATGTGATGTATCATTATGACTCATAAAAAGGTCACATTGATGTACAAAATACATATTTCAATATACTTAGCTGAGAACAAGGACTGATCAACCACAAAAAAACTAACCTTCAAAGGGGCCATAGAAGATGTTGCGCTCATCATACGTTGGATGAAGGGATGCCAAAGCAGGAACCTTGTCAAATTCATACAACACCATTACATCTTCGGAGAAATCCTTTGCAACCGCAAACCAGGCCTTCTTTTTGTACTTTATGGCTAACTTCGATACCAAAGACTCGTTCAACCCAAAACCAATATATATAGGAAAGTAAGTGCCAGCAGCTTGGACAAATTCACTAATAGCAGAGTCTGATTCAAGTATGGAAACATCAGGAGCTGCAAACTTCTTCAGATAGCGAACGAGCGATTCCGCCTTCCTGGGTCCATTGTATTCCATCGGAACACCGTGCATAAACAGTTTGAGGGTCGGAAATGCACTATACCAATAATCAAAACAAAATTATAAATTAAAATTAAATAAAATTCTGACTGGTAATGGACATAAAAGGGATTTGAAGAAACAGGATCATACTCGATTTCGTATTTTCGAGCTACAGAGGTGAATTTGTCAGCATTGAGTTTTGCAATCGCTACTGGGTGTTTCAACCCAGCAAGCAAGGGGGCAGCTGCATCCAACTACACAAATTCAATTTATTAAAATCTAAATAAATAAATAAATCCTAATTAACATGTGTTAATTAATCATCAAAATTAACATGGATGGATCATGGATGGATGGAGATGGGATCTTAAAGAATTATTGAAAATTATGATTTGAGAGAGAGAGAGAGAGAGAGAGAGAGAGGAAGACCTGAGGAGAGAGACGCTTGCAGTGGCCGCACCAGGGGGCGTAGAAATCAACCAAGACCAGGTCCAAGGCGGAGATGGCGGAATCGAAGTTGGAATCGTCGAGCTCCAACACCGTCCCGTCCACCGCCCACGACGACACCGCTGCTACCGCCGGCGAATCTAGTGCTGCTAATAATATCAGAAGCGCCCAACACCACAACGGCCTTACGCGCATGCCGATCATCCTCCCCATCGTCTTTCTTGTTTATTTGATTTCAGTTTTACAGTCTTTTTTTCCTTTTTGCTTAGGATTTCAGCTTTTCAGTCGGGGACGACGGCGATGCAGTGTTTAAAATATTATGAATCGAAATATCGATATTACAAATTTGTGGAAATATGAATGCTACATTGAAACTTACATCGGTTGTTTTTTAATAAAAATAATAAAAATTTAAAATGATCTAAATTTTAGCTTGGAAAAAATATAAGAGTTTTTTTTTTTATATTTAATTGATGAGAAATATCGACGATATATGTTGATTTTAGTTTAAGAGTTGGTTGATATCACTTGAAGTTACACTTCACCCATTTCCATATCTTTGTCTTATTATTTTTATTTTTTTTATGAAAACATCAATAATATCGAGAGGATTCAATTAGGAATTTGAAAGATTTTAATGGATTTATACATTCATAAATTTTTATAGAATTTAATTGGTTTGTAAACATATTCTATATAAAAATTTGATTCAATTCCCTTAAAATCTCATATAGGAATGTCAAATTTGTAGATGCCTAACATACATTACGAAATCTCTCAAATTCCCTCAAATTTCTCTATAATTAATTTCTAATTGAATACATCTGAAATGTTATAAATTTCTTTAAAATCATAATTAAATACACACGAATTCTTAAGCATTTAATAAATTATCTTAAAATCTTGATTGAATACACTTTAAATTTCATATAGTCACCTACCACTGTTGATTGAATATCATTCATTAAAAAAAATTAAAATCTTTTAAAATTCTAATTAAATACACCGTTAAAGGTGAATGTTATTGAAAAGGAGGTCGAATCTTCTGCAACCAAAGCTTAAGGGCCCTCTCTGTGCTCTGTTTAGTTGAGTGACACACGTGTCCTTTGACTTAAATTGACTCTGGAATCTCTCTTTAGAGGGGAGAGAGGAGCAACTGCCAAAATTGCCGCCGGTAATATGCAGTTAAAGCCCTTCAACTCCTTCACCATCGCCTTCATGATGAGCGGCGCCTTCTTCATCCTCTTCTTCTGCAGCTTCCTCGAATTCCCGCCTATATCGACCTCAGTGCAACCCACCAACGATCCCAGTCCGTCCCTCACCAATTTTGCACCCGACCCGTTTACCCATTTGATCGGCGCGTTCGGGAAGTGGGATGCCCGGGTGGGTTGCCCCCGTTTCAAAGAGAAGCACAAGCAGCAGCTGTTCCCGAAAAACTCTTCTTCTCTGCAGCAAATTCGCGGGGAATCGGAATGTGGGGAGGCGAAACCGGAGCATGTTAGCGTGTTGGTGAAAGGGTGGACTTGGATTCCTGATAATTTGGATAATTTGTATTCGTGCCCGTGTGGGTTGAGCTGTTTGTGGACTAAATCTTCTGTTCTTGCTGACAAGCCTGATGCTTTGTTGTTTGAGACCACTACACCTCCCCTTCAGGTACTCCATTTTGTTTTCTTAATGTTGGGCAGTAATTGGTTTCGATTTCTTCGTGTTATATATGTGTGTGTGTTTCTACATGTTCATGGTTAGCTAGTTATTGTTCAGATCATGATTATTGATATAATGTGGTTAAATCTTGAAGGAATTTCTTCCTAAGTACTAATTTATAGAGTGAGCATATGGAAATGGAATGTTAAAAACAGAAGTATTGTATACAGTGGCTGATCTAGGAAATTTTCCGTGAGGTCGAAATGATGCCCCAATTTTTCGCCTTTGGAATGTTGCTTCTTTGAGCTTTTTTTTTCCCAAACATTTTGGGGGGAATTGTTGAGAAACACACCAGCAATGAAAAGGAAAATACCTAAATTGTCTAATGGGTAGAGATTGAACTGGTGTGGTAGCTTGACTGCACGCTGTTCCTCTTTTTATCTGCCACAGATAGTAGGAAGAAGACTCGGCCTTTCCATTTTTTCTGTGTTGGGGTTATGGGAGGGAGGAGCAAAGGACTATAATCGATGCAGGTCAAGAGCTATATATGTATTCAGTTTCTTGTGGTTCATGCTTTTACATGATTAGCTCCTATATGGAAATTTTCCAGGGTGAATAAACAACTTGTATTTAAGAGTTACTTGCTTCTTTTACTTGGAAAGAAGAAATATAATTACTACTACAAGATAGGGAAAGGAGCTAGACCACTATGGTTACTGCCTTGCGTTAGCACTTTGCACTTCCATTATATACTTGCAGTAGCGCTATGTAAATTCCCTTGAGTGCTTGTAGGCAACAGTTTATAATGACACTCTCCATTGGCTTGCGATTATGCTATAGGATTCTTTTGATTGTTGGTAAACGCAATAGGAGTTTGAGTTCTGCAAACGCTTTACTAATGTTTTCCTTGTTTAATACACTAGGATAACTAGGCTTCTCCTCTTACTTTGTCCCAGAAGACGAGGGATTCATCATACAATAGAACGTTAATGATAGATTGAAGAGTGCGCTTGTGAATCTATAGTGGAACTAGATAATTTATCCTGTTTTCTGTGTTTATACCGCATTTTGTAACTCGTATAGGAAATTACAGGCCCAACCCTTTTCACATGAAAAAAGGATTACAGCACTAGATGGGGCGTTCTTAGTGTATCATGCTTTGATCAGACTAGATGAGTGGTGTTCTAGGAAGTCTTTTTGTTCAAGTGCCCTTCTTTGTAACTTCACTGTGGGAAACTACTGATTTACCATAAGATGTTCATACTCTAGGAAAATTAATGTCTCAATCATAAAATTATATAAATGATAAATACGTTCTCTAAAATTTGAAGAATGAAATACATTCTTCAAAACTGGAAGTGTATACTTTGTTTTTTCTTTTCTCATGGGAAATACAAGTCGTATTCGTAAAATTGGAAGGAGAAAAAATTGCCCAGTAGGTTGGAAACTTTTGTAAATTCTGTATTGTATAAGCTGAAGGGTTGCCTTACTGATCTTTCTTTTACTTGGGAGCAAGTGCTTGCTATCTAAGAATTTTTTTATCATCAATTTGATGTTTTCATCCCACTATACTCCTGCTAAGGACATATGCGCAAATATCAATTTCGATTACCTATTAATGGGGGACTTGCACGCGGATACCCATACATGTAGCTTGCACGATTGAGATATGACTATGCTCAGCATTTCTCTGAATGTATGTAATGAGGTTGAAAGATATCTGGACCTTTAGTAGTTACTGTGCTTTGATCTTATGAAGCAAACTGTTGAGGAAAGCAAAGTTAATTTGGGATCAACATTTGATGTGTGTCATTGTTGGCTGAGATGTGATGTAATCTTGTGGGTTATTTGGTAGAGCCGAATAAGAGGATCTTCGAAACTTACGTGATCGGTGGGGTTTGATCACTTGAGCGGTAGAAGTAACATGTGGGGACATAAAGCAGTGAAGTGATTTAGCTGTAAGTGGCAGTCTCATGCTATGAAGTTAAAAGTGTCACGTGGGGTCGACATAACCCAGTGAGGCGAATTAGGTGCACATGGCGATCACTTTAGCCCTTGCTTTTGCAACCATGGCACTTTTCATCTGGATTTCATTCCCTATTCCATCATACCCAGAGTAATGTGAGACACAATGTGAAAGTCCAGGGAGGGAAAGTGATTAAATTTCAAAAGCAGGGGGTAAAGTGATGCTTTGGATATGTGCAAGGGGAATTTTGATAAGGGTGTACGCCTTTAATAGAAATAACCTTCTTATTTATTTCATATTTCATTTCTTACTTTGGTTTTGGACTTCTTTTTCTTCCTTTTCTGGCATTATATTTTTGTTCATCTTCATTTAATTCAATAGCATTCCTTCTTCTGTAAATGATTGTACCAGGTTAGAAAGCTAACCTGGGTAGTAATCTTGCTACAGCCTTATCTTGCGCATTATCTATGTACATTGTTTTGGTATGTTGTTGTCGAGGTCTACTCCATTCTCCTTAAAAAAAATTTGGTTCTGTCAGAGACGCACTGGAGATCCACTTCGTGTGTACATGGATCTTGAGGCTGGCAGGAAGCGATCTGGTGTTGAGGATATATTTATAAGTTATCACGCCGAAGATGATGTGCAGTCCACCTATGCTGGTGCACTCTTTCACAATGGTCGAAATTATCACATGTCTCCTTATAAAGAAAAAGTAAGGACTTGACTCTGTTCTTTCTGTGTTCTTTTCATACTGTTATACTTATTTCTGTTCATCTCTCTGTCGCATGATGTACATTTTCAAATATATACATGACTTCATCTGGAATTCTATTTGAAGGACACACTTGTTTATTGGTCATCATCGCGCTGTCTACCTCGAAGAAATAAGCTTGCCCACAAGCTTCTCAGCTTACTACCCCACCATTCATTTGGCAAGTGCTTGAACAACGTCGGCGGCTTGGACATGGCCCTTTCTTTCTACCCCGAGTGTGCAAGTGATAGTAGTGTCACCCAAAAATGGTGGGATCATTTACATTGTGCCATGTCTCACTATAAGTTTGTTCTTGCCATCGAAAACACAATGACAGAGAGTTATGTGACGGAGAAGCTATTTTATGCACTAGACTCTGGGTCAGTTCCAATCTATTTTGGTGCCCCTAATGTCTGGGACTTTGTTCCTCCCCATTCGATAATCGATGGCACTAAATTTAGCAGCTTGGAGGAATTGGCGTCTTACGTGAAGTCCCTCGCCAGTGACCCAGTTGCGTATGCCGAGTACCATGCCTGGCGAAGATGCGGGGTGATGGCGAATTACGTTAAAACGCGAGCATTGAGCCTTGACACATTACCATGCAGGCTCTGCGAAGCTGTTAGCAGAAAAGGTGGGAGAAATGGAAGAACCAAGTGAATTTGTTATGGTTTATGTATAAATTGTATACAAGCGCTGCTGATAGATGTATTAGTGAAAAGAAAAGAAAAGGAAACTGGGATTTATTATAAAAGAAATTAACACGTACTCATTTTTCATTTGCTTTATTTTATGGTCAAAACCAGTTTTGGCACACTATTTTTTTGCCTCAATTTCAAATTTAGTTACTGTTTAGGGCAATTTTCCCTCGACCGCGGACGAAAACAGATGACTCTCCTCACTATAAAGAGAGATCATTCTCTCGCGATTAGAGCTGAATCACGATTATGCGTAAACCTTTGTATCATGAAAACTTAGCACTATTAATGAAAACTCCTTTATTCTTGTAGACGTAACGCAAAATATGATGAACCACGTACATTATGTGTTTCCTCTCCTATCTCTATCTCTTTATACATTATCTTACTTAATAGTCGCTATGTTGGACTCAAACTCTGTTGAGAGTTTGATTATTTCTATTCACATTCAGCGGAAAAAGAAGTAGGCTAATTTATAGTTTGACAACCTTACTTTGAAATTTTGGTTCTTTCCACCCGTGTCATACGAAAGGTGAGCAAGGCTACGAGTGTAGTCCAATAACTAAATCTTTATGTGTAGTTATCTCGCCTAATCATTCATTTTTCTCCTAGAAATGTTAGGTTTCAACATCCTCTATATATATTGAAACCTTTTAATTTATCAAATTATCGTCAATCCTAACGTATGGTTAGATGATTAAATGATTAAGTGTCCATTCAGAGTGGGCACCAAATGCCCGTTAATTTTGTCGAGAGTTGGCATATATTAGACAGTGTCGTATGTATCGAAGCCAAATGCCAAAAGATTTAGGTGCACATAACGTGGCTTTTCCCCGACTTTCTACAACACAGACACGTACTTACCAAATAAAATGTTCAAATAAAATAGAATAAAACTTGACGTGCATGTCTCAAAAGTACCAAGTGGCCTCAAAAGTGTCCAACGATTTGATGAATTCGAAGGGGAACAAAGGTGGTTGGCCTTTCTAACATCACCTCTCGTACCAACCTCTACCAACCATGCAATTGCACTCTCTCCCTCTCTCCCTCTCTCTCATAGTCATTGATGTGCATGTCTCAAAGGCTCAAAGACCACTTGGAAATGAGTAAGTTGCGGCTCTTTCTTTGATATATTACTTATAAATAGGAATGATCGCGTTCTCCCCATTTTTAACTTTTTTATTTTCATTTTCATTCTACGTATTTAATAATTAGAATCATTTACATTTTAAATACCCTCTAAAGATCAGCTCTAGAAAAATTCTCTACTAACATTGTCAAACTTTTGGTGTTTAAAAGAAAACATGGTTCTATCTATTTATTAAATAGTTATTAGATGACTAAACAACGGTGAAGTTAGGATTTCACGTATGGGGGACTTTTCACATACATAGGTAATTTGAAATTAAACCATGAGAGATTGGAGTAATTTGCATAGAAATTGAAAGACCCTAAATTCAATAGAGAGAACTAAAAATATTGTACAAACCTAGAAACTCAAATATGAGTTAAAGTGTAAGCATTTAAAATATAAGTTAAAGCTAAAAAAAAGTTGGTATAATAAGAAGGGGAAGTGAAGAATGCGCCACCATAAGAGAGATGGAGAGAAAAATGAAGCCTAGCCTGTAACGAAAAAAGTTTGTATTAAGAACACACTTGAATTTTAAAAGTATTTGATTGATATGCAGCAACAACATCTGTTAGTACTGCAAGAAAAAAAAGGTACATGGACCAAAGACTATTCTAGTCCCTTAGTGGCTTTGCCCATGTGACTAAACAACTTTAAACGAAATTTGTCATTTCCATATGGATGATCTTTAAAGGTAATTTAAAAGTAAACGGTTTTTTTTTCCTGAACAGACGATAGTATTTGGGATGGGATGGGGGATAGGCTAGTCCATTGTGGGACGGGGAATAGGCTAAGTCTCACAATGAACTAGCCATAATATTATAATAATATGGTTCAAATTTGGCTTTGACGAGAATCGAACTTAAAAACCTTTCACTTACAAATGAAGATGAATATCACTAAACCGTAATACTAAGTGGTAGAAAATAAACAATTTTATCGTCAAAGAATATTACTGGATGAGAAAGTAAAACAAAAAAGTCTAAATGAAAAAATTGCTTGTATTCTCTTATAAATTTTATATAATATTGGATAAATAAAAGAAAATTTGAGAGCACTGAATCAAAGCAGGCTGATGTTGGCCGCGTAGAGGAAAGTTTGATGGACGAGGTTAAGTACGAACCTATAAGAAATAGAAAATTAGGGTTTGAGCGGTTGCATGGTTTCGTATACTACTCTCTCTCTCTCTCTCTCTCTCTCTCTAGGTTGTAAAGTCAATCGGGGCACGAGGAATGAACGGCTGAATTTCACTGCAATTTGAGCGGTTGCATTGTTTCTTTTTGTGTTGAGAAATCATTTCTCAGTTATTGAGCGTCACCTACCAAACTCATTATCAAATTAAATTTTTTATTTAATTTTACAATAATGATAATTATATTATGTACAACACATTTTAATATATCACCCAATTTGACAATTAATTGAGGGTAATGCTATTCATACGCTTATTTTTACTTCTCACACACACCTTTTAAATTTCAATTATCGGATTGAATAAATTGAAAAAAAATCAATAACAAAAAAATTAACAAGGTGTGTATGAATAATAATTTCATCTCAATAGATGATGATTAAATATACTATTTTATGTATCACAATGGGTGGCATTAAAATGTAGTTGAGACACTTAACTGATCATTTTGATTTGGCCTGAAATGATTCAGTAACTGTGAGCGAATTCTAAATCCATATTTCACACCACACGTCTTGCTTTCGATTTCTATCGCTGATGTAAACCTCTGTTAATTTTTTTAGCGCCCAAAACCATGACCAAGCCACCAACTTTATCTCTTTTTTTTTAAAGAAATCATTTTGATTGTGGACTGAGTCTTTGTTTTCTCAGTTTGATCATTATTAAAACTTAGTGCACATGCAAATTTGCAACAACATCTTCTCTCTTCAGTGATCTGACTCACCCCACCACTACCAACCCTTAACTAACCAACTGTTTAGTTTATTTTGTTTCTTTCCCGCAGAGTTCCTATTATTTAATAGGAGATCGGTTACCTACCTTCCAAACATATCACATGTACAACATCTTCCTTTTTCCTTCCTCTTCCCACGAAATCCTAACGACTGGGACCCAATTTCTTAACGGATAGACGTTATGTAACGTCGAATAATCCTTTTGAGTTTGGATTATTTGATGTTTCATAACACTCATCTGTTTTCTCGTCCCAAGTGTTCATTTGAATTATTATTATTATTTACTTTTTTTCTTAACATTTTGATGAACAAAAAGCTTATTAAATCTTTGTGTCTTATGAATAACACTTTGGATCCTTTTGTATATATATAATTATAAACGTAGTATAACTAACTTTACGTTCCATGAAATGGTATGCATTGATATGCCTGGATTGTCACCAGATCGAGACATTGAGTTCACTATTGATCTCTTGCCTGGAAGTTTGGAATTGATCGATATCTCTCACAACTTATCAAATGGCACTATCTAAATTGATTGAATAGAAGGTTCAATTGCAAGAGTTAGTTGACAAGAGTTTTGTGCGGCCAAATACTTCTCAATGTGGTGCTCTTGTGTTGTTTGTGGAGAAAAAGGATGAGAGCATGCGGTTGTGCATTGGTTAACGACAGTTGAACCAAGTGACAATCAAGAATCAATACCCTCTTTCTAGGATTGATGATTTGTGTGATCAGTTGAGAAAAGCTCAAATTTTCTCTAAAATTGACTTGAGATTGGGATGTCATCAATTCAAGATTCGTGTTGGGGATATTCAAAAGATTATTTTCTGAACACGGTATGGTCATTATGAATTTCTTGTTATGCCTTTTGGTTCTGCAACACTTATGGATTTGATGAATAGGGTTTCCAACCTTATTTGGACAAATTCGTGATAATCTTTATCGATGATATACTTAATTATGTATTCTAAGAGTGAACAAGATCATGCTAGGCACCTTAGGCTCGCGTTGGAAAGACTATAAAGGAGAAGGTTGTATGCTAAGTTTAGCAAGTATCAGTTTTGACCTGATCTAACATTAATTCTTTAAGCCATGTTATTTCCGTCGAAATAATCTTTGTTAATTGTTACTTAGCCCCTATATATGATTTGATGTTATGAAAGTCTAACCGAAAATTACAGCTCACTAGAGAGACATTAGTACTACCTGAACCGAAATTATTGCGCACTACGTGGTGTGTGAGTCAAATGCACATGTAGATGTAGTAGGACAATCTTGCATATACAAATAACAATATTGAATGACCAAACTTGAGTCATTCTTGGCATTATCATCTCTCAACAACTTTTATAATTAATTTTTTAAGAAGAAGTATAGCGTTTTGTGGATTACATGGATAGTTATTAGGGGTAAGAATAATCGGTGGAGATCGAACAAATACCAGGATGCAACGGCCATCTGCTCAAGGAACACATTTAAAGGCATGTAAAAAACATGTTTTGGTGTTACAATAAAAATAAAAAATTACCTCTTTTTTTTTACATATTTTCAGAAGTGGGGTTCGCTAGTTAAAAGAGATAACTAAATGAAATTTCAAACATAATATAGCTTCATGTAATAAGAGCAACTTGCATAAAACGAGTACACCGTTAAGTGACGTCTCAAAACAATAATATTATGTCATATAAAGAAAAATTTACACATAAGAGAACACGATACGTATTCCATATAAGACATTCTTTCCCGCTAGAGGAGTAGATAAATCTCCAAAAAAAGGAAGATGTAAATGTTAAATTTGCATCTGTTGCTCTTAAAGAGCCAAACATGAGAAATCTAATTCAAACATATGTAAATCTGGATTTTCAAATGATAATTGTTCTTCCAAATGTGTGTCTAAGATGAAGAGAAAAAAGAAAAAGAAAATATATAATAAAATGGCGCTATGAATTCAAAGCAGGTCAGTGAAATCTGTAGAAGCCATTGTTACTACTACACTGACAATTTCTGCATGCTTCGCTGCTCTGAAATTCAACCTGGCAGCACAAACACACCGCCTGAGCCACCACCGACGACTGCACCTTTTTAAAAAAACTGATGATTATTATTACTATTGGGAGGAACTATGATCTGATGTAGTCTTGACTCGGCCGAGTTCCCAGACGACGCCCGAGTTGGTTTGGACTGAAACGGCTCTAACCCAATTGAAAGATCCAAGTTGAGATCACCACACTTGTATTTCTGCTGCTGTTGTTGTTGGTCTTCTTCGGTTGTGGTGCCGCTGCCGGTAGCGGTGGAGCAATTGGCCTCCGATTCTATATTGTAATTGTAGCACTCCTGCTCCATCTTGGGGTGCTTCAACAATTCAATTTTGCTGTGGTTGTTGATGGGTTTATGACCAAACACCACGGACAACGGCGGAGGACGGTTTCTCAAGTCCAAGCGAGAGGCGGGAGCAGTGGAAGTGGCGGTTGTTGCTTGGTTAAGCGGGCGGTGGGTCTGAGGGTCGAGGCCGCGACTGATGAGATTTCGCTTGACGTAAGTGTTCCAGTAGTTTTTGATCTCGTTATCGGTTCTTCCCGGCAATTGCGCCGCAATCAACGACCATCTACAGAAACACAGTCCAATTACAAATCAATATGATTTATTCTGTTAGAAAAAAAAAACTGGGTGATCTGGTTGCTTACTTGTTTCCCAGCAAGCTATGAAGCTTGATGATGAGTTCATCTTCTTCCTTCGTGAAATTCCCACGCTTGAGGTCGGGGCGGAGGTAGTTTATCCATCTCAATCTGCAACTCTTGCCGCACCTAAGCAACCCTACAAAATCATACATGAAGAAAAACTGAATTAATTATATGATATAGATAGAGGAATATCAAGGACAAATGTAATAGGAGCATCCGTCGACAAAAGTATCACCCTAAGATGATCATCTCATGGCTATTGAGAATGATGGTTCTATTTCTCAATCTTTCTGACTTGTTCATACGGAACCAAGGTCGAAACGATTGGGAGTCATTCACAACCACTGATGAAGGATTTCTCGAAAAATTAAAGATTAGTAATCCTTTTTAGAAAGTCCTGACACAATTGAAAGGTTGCCTCTTTATGATCGAATAGTTCCGAATTCAGAGTCATAAATATGGCCTATTTGCAAAATAAAAACAAGACTATATCCGATAGACATTCCTCACCCGACCCTCGACCCTCGCAAAGCGGAAAGCTTGCTGGCTTGAGTCACACCTTTTTTAGATAGAGGAATATTGAATTGAAAATGAATAGTTGGATAGATGGATGAGTTTACGTACCGGCGGCTTTAGGGAGGGAGCGCCAGCAGCCCTCGCCGTGTTGGCGGATGTAGTCGATGAGGCGCTGGTCCTCCTCTTTCGACCATGCCCCTTTGTTGGTGTGAGCTTTCTCACAACAAGGTGCTCTCCCCATCTATTTCTTCTTGTGAATCAGATACAATATAACAGCAGCTACAACAGTGACTCTGTATGTATGTGTATATAAATATATATATATATATATATATATATATAGAGAGAGAGAGAGAGAGAGAGAGAGAGAGAGAGAGAGGAAAGGAGAGAGATTTTGTGGTGTTTTGTTTGAAAGAGGTGAAAGGGAGAAGAAGCAACAGAGACAGAGAGAGTTTTGGTTTGGTGGATATTGAGAAAGAAAGAGATATATGTAAGAAGACAGAAAGATTACTGATATGAGAGGAGAGAGAGAGTCAGAGGGTTTGATTTATGAGGTGGGGAGGAAGGATTTGACCGAGTTGGTGAAAGAGACGAGTGGTGAGTGGTTACTGGTATGGCTCCATTTTGGTAGGTAGCTCTACTTTTACGTCGCATTCCTCCCCCCTGTGGGCTCTCCTTTCCTATTCACAATTCACACCATCTTTCCCTTTTAAGAACTTTTTAGACATGGAATTACACTATTAACGGTTGATAGGTACTCATATAAGCGTGATTCGAAATTTCAAATCAATCAAACATTTCATATTCTTCCCCATGGGCGTTTTGTTTCTCCAATTACATTTCTTCTTTTTACAACGTGATACTAATTTGAAGCTCTCCGATTTATAGTTAGGGCTTTTCAACTCGAGTGGTACATTACTTTAGTTCAGATTAACCCGTTTAATTCTCATTTTACTATATAAAAACTTCTAATTAATAATTTGTGAGTTATTTAAAAGTGGAAAAAGATCTTCCTATCAAGATTGAATACTCTAATTATTCGTATCTCACTTATCACTTTAATTCACTTAATTTATAAGATAAAAATAACGCGAAAGATAAATTCGTTAAATGAAAACTTTTCTCCATAAAATGAAAACACACTCCATTGGACAATTTCATAATTGCCCCTGCCACCTAAAATTTAAATTCCTGTGGGCTAAGGTTTCCTTATCCTGGTGTCTTAATCCAGGGGCTTATTTGCCTTTTAGCCAAGAGTCTTATCTAAATACAAAATCAAATCAAACCCAAAATTAACTTCCTAAATAAACGAATAAATTTCAACTCATGGTAAAAAACATGAGTTTGCCAACAAGAAAATTGACAAGCAGATGTAGATACAGATTATGTTAGGCAAACAGATAGATGGATTACATACTTAGGCATAAGCAAATGCCGAAGTTAGATCTAGATGGCCGATGCCGAAGGTGTAGAAGCAATGCAGATTCCGAACGTCGACAAAACCAGATGCAGATGCAAATTCCGAATGCCGAAGCTATGCAGATTTCGAATGTACACAAATGCAGAACATGCAAATGTAGATGCTGATGTTGGGGTGTATGAAAAGAAAGCATATGAAGTTGTAAACAAAAAATAGCAGCACCAGATGCGGATAGTACCTCAGTATAACGAATCAAAGCATATCTATAAAGGAGAAGATTTGATAGATACAAAGAATTTTCCCTTGATCTGTTATTGTACATATACAATGAATTGAGTAACACACTATTGATTGGGCAGAGTTAATCAACCGAAAGAATCAAGACCTTAGGATACATTCCCCCTCCACTCAACTGAAAGAACAATTTCTCAACTTAACTGAACGACGTTATTTTTAATGATACAATAAAATTACAGGTGAACACAAAAATCGTAACCCTAAAGAATAATTTTATGTATTCAAATCAGTTGTGTTAATTAAGTTACCGCTTATATTTGTGGCTTCTGCTTCTTTACACATACAATCTGGCATGGGAAATGTATACAGCGACGCACTGGGTTTTTTCAATTCAAAACCCTTCTGGTCACTGTGGCGAAGCATGTCTTGCATCTGCCGTTTGAAATCTTCCCATCTGCAATATAAGAAATACGGATGAATAAGAATGCTTAAGTTGTTTTTCTACAATGCTTTTTAGTGCAAACAAAGGACCACTAGGTGGAAGCAAAGCAAATTACATTCATGTTGTTTGTCTATAAATATCATTTGTTACCCCATTTTTGTTTGATAGGTAAATTTGTTGTTCTATGCTTTAAACATCCATCATGCCCCTTTTTATTTCCCAGGTAAATCTTGATATATCATGTTTACGACAACCATACCAAACCCATTACAGAGAAAACCAAGGTGCTTGGAGTTAACAAAGGTCAAACAGAAAAGGGGTCGTTTGATAACCATTTCATTTTCAGTTTTTAGTTTTTAGTTTTGGGCTTGGAAGGTGTAATGCATGGTAATACCAAAATGTAGAAAGACAAAAAGAGAAACAAAATGTTTAAATGGTGTAACTATTAAGATTGTTTTTGCATTTTAATCGAGTTTTAACTTCTGCAACATGCACAAGTTAAAATGTAGAAGGACAGAGAAAGCAAAGATGTGTCCTTAGACAACCTATACTCAGCTGAGTGTTAAATAATGTGGTCCTTTTCTTTTAGGTAGGTACCAATGCGCATGTTTTAGGTTACGTGGATGAATCCATACTATTTGAAAGTTAGAAACTCAACAGATGAAATCAATTTTAAACTAACATTTCAAGCACACGTTACCTGATACTAGGATTATCAAATAAGAGTGCTAACTTTCTTTTATCAGGCTTGACTGTCTTTGAATGTCCTCCATAGAGATACCGCCTGTGACCCATCAAGAAGTGGGGAAAATTTCCTCCCTGAGTGGTAACAAATACTTCACTGTGGAGGCAAACCGTGTAATCAAGAGCCGCCAACCTAGATAAATGGCCCTACATCAGAAAAATTTAGCATTGAAAAAATTAACTTAATGCTAAGTCTATTTTTATACCAAAAGGAGCAAATTTAGGTGAATGGACCCTACTGCAGAAATGGTATGATAAAAATTGCATTAGTTTGAAGCTGATGCGTACTTAATTGGAGATGTAATTGCACCCAAACAATACCTTAAAAGGAGCAAGTTCTTCTGTAGTTGCCAATGTGTCTTTCATTTCCAAGCGTGGAAACATCTGTTTAAGAGGAGACATGTACTTCTCCGCTTTATAAATGTTTCCTGCTGCAATGTATACTGAAGTGGCATTGTCAAACCCCATACCCCTGAGCATCATTCCTACCTACAGCACCGAATACTTCATTACTCACCAAGGTTGAGAAACAATTCAAATACTAATGCTTATTATGAACTTTAGCTGTCTGTTCTGTACTTGGTCCAGCCATGGCCAGACCAGCTATTGGACAAAATTTGACCATGTTCATCCAAAATAAAAATCAATAAAAAATGTATTAGTCAAAATAATAATGATGATGTGGCATTAACATTTTGTTTATTTAAACAGAATAGAAAACCTTCAGGGAAAAAAAAAGTCCCCATGCCCCTCAGCCAAAGCCCTCTTCCCACCACCACCACCACCACCACCAAAACCAAAAACCACCGTCCAGCAAAAGAGACGCAATATATCTAAACTAATCTCCAAGCCCTCTTAACTTCCAAAATCTTTCAGAACAATCAGATTTTCATTCATACCCAAAAAATAAGAGTCCAGTGTGTTTTCTTTTGTTGGTATAGTTCACAGTAGTTAATTGTAGTAGCAGAAGTAGAAAACATCAGCAAACGATATTAGAACATTGAGCAAGAGTTTTTTTTTTTTTCAAAGAAATTTAATTAGGGAACTGTTATTGGCACTCCAAAAATCTCATTGTGGACTCCTCACAAATGTATTTCTTTCTAAATATATAAAGTCTGGAGTGCAGAATGTGAAGTTTTAAAATATTTTTCAAAAGCCCAAGTAGCAGAACTTTTATATATAACCGGGTCGGACATGATTTCACAGCTTAAATTGAAATGGATAGAAAGAATAGCATTATACCTCTAATGGAGTTAAAGGGCACTTCCCATCCACACGATTTGCACCTGGCCTAATTACTCTACCCCTTCTCCTGAATTTTCCTCTCCAACTTCTTTCTCGAGCAATATCCATTTCGCGTTTCTCTTCCTCCCCGCCATCATATTCACAGCACGAAAACGCTACCATGTCCTTTGACAAAGAGATAAAAACAAAATTTATAAATTGTTCATTTAAAAGAAATTACAGTCACAGAAAAAATCAGAAATGATTCATTTTAAAGGATAACAAAAACTACACACCTCTTCAAACCGAAGATGCACTGAAACGTATTTTCCCCCACTGTGGGAGCTACTTTTAACCATTCGTTCAACCATTTTATCTGCAAGCATTCTTATAGAACTTGAAAACCTCAGTGCTTCAAAATTGGCAAAGCATCTAAGCCTTTGGACCTTTGAAGGAACTGCATAAGCCAATCTGTTGGAAAAAGGTGCAATGCGCACAGCCCTGCAACATGGGTTGAGAGAAACTATATATAGCTGTCACATACAATGTAACACAAGCCCATGACTCAAAAGTAAAGAATTAAAGAGTAAAACACATCATAATATAGATATAGAAAGAAAGAAAGAAAGGAAAGGGGAGAAAGACCAACTAGAAACAACAATAAAGGCAAGGCACATATGACATACCCCATTTGCTCCAACTTTGGGAGGACCTTTTGAAGATAATAAGCTGAACTTGACCAACCCTTCACTCTCAGATTCACAATGTTGCTTATATTATTGTCAAATCGCTCCAGTATATCCCCTGGGAGCTCCCTAACCACATTCACTTGATTTCTGAGAGCATGGATGAAGTAATCTTCATCAAATATGTTCCCAAAGTGACTGCAACAAGTAGGAAATAAAATGGTCAATACCTTGAAACATCAAAACATGACAAGTTTTCAATAATTTAAATTTTTACTGCCATGCTTGACATATATTCTCAGTGGTCAGATTTCAAAGCTTAGGACCTGCGAGACAACCATGCTCCAATCAAAAGGTTACCAGGTCAAATTGTATGTTGTATCCAATACACATGCAAGCCCTTTTTTGTCAACTACATCCATTATAAGCCATTAATGGTGTTATCTTTTTGGCTGAAAGAAGACCAAGGTCTAAAGAAGGGGGAAAGGAGGGTCACATTTGAGCTCTCCCTCTATATGAAGTTTGCTACAACCCAAGCCATAAGTAACTAATAATTTTTAACATGAACTTGGTAAGGACAAAAACACCTATACATAATTACTATGATCCAATTTTAAACTTAATTCATTTAAGAAAATGGAGAAGGAAAAACAGAGAATTATAGTAAATAATTCCCTTACTTGCGGCCTACAACAACTTCAAACGAAGAATTCCCATTTGCTAAGTTTAATGTTTTATTCAAAATATGCATCAGCCAAAGTTTGGTAATTCATATCAAACCAAATAGTTCAGATAAGGCGTTTTAGCAGTTGTCAACTTGTCGTGGCTGATTCAGAAACTAAGTTAACCTAGTTATACATTTTCTGAATGAATCATGCTAAACTATTTAGAATGACGAATAAAATAAAAATCTCAATGTAAGTGGTAATGGAGCTGAGCATGATGAAGATCATAATCTTAATGGTACAATAACTTTAGTAATCACCTTGAGTCTTTCCAGACACTATTTAGATGAAAAATTGGAATCAGAAGCGTTGCATTCAATAGTCCAGCCACAGCAACTGCATCACAAATCTATAATGAAGTCATGAAGAAAACTGTCAAAGAAAAAGAAAAGGAAAAATCAGATGCACAAGACATGTTTTTGACACAAGTTACTATTGTCAGCTATTCATGAAATTCATGCACTCTGTAAATTACAATAACACGGATGGCTTTGGTCTCGCAGGAATATCATACAAATAAGTGAGTTGAAATACATACATATATGAAGGAAAATATAGGTTTGGTGGACAATGCAGCATGTTATGTTGGCAGACTGACATCTAGACTATTGATCATGGAGATTCTTGTTCAAATGTCCAATTTCGAAGTTTAACAAGATAACATACCATACATCTAGCAAAAGAACACAGCCCAATATATATGCATGTGTTGCGTGTGTCTAACAATATAAAAAGCAATATTGCATGACATGTTGACAAGTTGATAATCAAGTTGTTACAATTGACAGTCCAACAATATATCATGTTAAAAGAAAAACAGAATTTCACACACAATAATATATCTCTACAGTTTGTTTCTCCTACGTGACAGCAATGCACAAGAAAAATGTCCGATCCTTCATTTCATTTTCAATTGTATATATAGAATCAGCAGTCTACAACCCCACAACTGCAAACACGTGAGTGTGTGTCAAGCCTAGTTGAAAAGCCAAAACATTCATACCCAGGAAAACTAGACAAAATTCCTTGGTGTTGCCCAAACAACACATTTCAGCCATATCTTGGAGTATAGCTTTCACTTTGTAAAAAATTAAATTTTGAGGTGAACTCTACATCTTTGCCTGTCAATTACTCTCAGGTGCTTGATATCTTTATGCAACGATCAAAACCACAAAAACAATGACAAAAGACGTTCAAAGCAACCCAACCAATTAAAAAAAGAATCCAACTACAACGCATAGATCACAAACCCTAACCATGGCAGCCACCCAAATCAAGAAAGATTGATATAAATCAACAAAGCCATACCAATCAAGAAAATGAATTCCAGTTGTGTGTAATCACACCTACCGATAAACGTTGTTGGTTCAATCCACCATTTGCTTCAATTATAAATAAACCATTCGACTTTGGTAGTCCTGTAACCCGTCCAAATATTAAAAAAACAACAGTTAGTTATTCATTTAGTTTTTAACAACCACATAATTATTCATTCTATCTTCCAAAAATCAGGATAACTGAAATTTAGATTTAAAATTCCTGCCACATTGACTTACTGAAAACATACCATATTCTGTTTCAAACAATTTTTTATAAGTACTTTGCCACACAGCATAAACATGATGTTAAAAAGGTGTAGCTGAAGTATAATGTTTTGGAAAACATTTGTGTATAGTTGCGTGCACACAAGAGCAGGTGGCAGGGTGTTTTCATTTTTGAACAAACCCTGTTTATGCACCCTCTCCACCATTTACCAAGTATGTGTGGTGATAGACTCTTACTGGCATTTGCAACCCATATTAAATCTGAAGCATCATCCCTAAACAATTTGAAAGTGTAGTATAGGGTGTACTGGCAAGAGAGTCTGCAAAACCCCCCGCATGGTGAGTTTGAATAAGAAAATTCTGGGTAGCCAGTATGATAAATGTATCCATTAGATATTTTAAATACGTCATTCTCAGTTTAATTGTTATCATATGAAAAACCCAAACCTTCTTCTGGAGTATCGTTGCTAATACATGGCTTCCAAACTTGCCGCCGCACTTTTGAATTCCACACTGCCATCAACTGCACAGTTTTCATATCAGCATACTGTCAGTTCACATTGGCTATAACCATCAAATTCGCAGAAGTGCAATATTAACTATCCAAGTGAACCCCCGTAAGAGGTTTCCCTAAAGAGCTACCTATCAAAGTGATTTCATATAAAGACAGTAAATTTCTATACCAAGTGATTCGATTGATGAGCAGACGGTTCTTTTCCATATGCAGATCAAACAACTATGCGTTCTTTTTCAAAATTAGTAACTCACAGTCAGATAAAATTACCCAAATCAGTAGACCCTAATACATAACAATAGATAGTGGACAGCAATGCATATCAAACTTAACACACAAGCGTGCACATAGATTAGCAAATGCTCAGTTCGTCAAGAATTTACATAAACAAAACAAAATGGTGCATTTTGAATCCTCCACCCAATCGAATCGGAAGAAGTTTGCAAGAATTCACTCACCAAATTGTGAGTGTGATTGCTGTCAGCCTGCATATGAGGCCAAAGCTTGTGAAAAACCTGAGGGCTCCTATACACCGAGCCCGGAGGCGACCGCTTACTGACCACAACAACCGCATTCTTCAAGCTAACAACATCGAAGTTCACCGAGCCCATATACAACAGCATCCCCGAAATGTACAACAATGGCGCGAACAAAAGCACGCCTCGGCGCTTAAAAACGACTGAGATGAGCAACACCACAACCTTCTCCACAATGCTCTGCTTGGGCCCTCGGCCGGCGCCCAAGTTCTTGTTGCGGCCGTGGCGGCAGCGGGGGGAGGACGGCGGGGAGCCGGCGGGTCGGGAATTGCCGAGCCGGCTGTAGCCGTGCATTGAGGAGCAGGGGAGACTCAGGGTTCTAGAGATTGGGGAGAGAGGGGAGTCGATATCTGATTGCGAGAGCCGAGGAGGAGGAGAGATTTTTCAGTCTGCCTGGAACACCGGTACGTTTTGCCGGCGTACTGAAAAATGACGACGTGGCATGAGAGAGTGGGCGTGGGAGGTGAGGTTTATTGGGGAAGAGAGAGAGAAGATAATACAGGAGAGCGCGTGGGAGGGGCAGCGGCTGGCTGCAATCACGGGAGCGGGAGATGCCAGCTCTGACTTGATGACGATGTGAGTGGGTGTGTGGGTGTGGTTTCGGGTGGCCCTCTGGAAAAGAGCTCCTCTCCTAATCTCTTCCATCAAAATTACCTAGTCAGGTAATTCAAGTTTTTTAAATTTGATTTAACGGTTAAAGTTATTATCATTTTTAAAGGAATTTCCTATCCTAATCTCTTCCACCAAAGCCACCTAATCAAGTGATCTGAGCCCTTGAAATTTGATCAAACAGTTAAAGTTATTAACATTTTTAAATGTCCTCTGTATCAAATTTTAAATACCCGAATCACTTGATTAAGTAGCTTTTATAGAAGAGATTAGAAAATGATCTATTTCCAGCCTTTAGCTAGTGAAATATAGTACACTTCTTTTCATTCTCTTTTTTTTTTTTTTAATCTTCTGTTTTCCAAATTGAGAAATGCTGATGGATTTTTGTGAGTCATTATGTGCTGAAAGTATAAACTGCGGTGTCAAAATCATTAATCTTTTTTCTTTTTTTTTAACTTATTACGTGGCTAACCCGATTTTCCATTCTTTAGTGTAACTGCTCGAACTCCAACTAGCTTATAAGTTAAACACCAAACCATCCTTTGGGGTGGGTAACTCCACATTGTAATTATATGTACTTCTAATTTTTTGTAATTATATAACCTAAATCACTTTTTTATAAAAATAAAAATAAAGGAAAATCGTTTCCAAAACAGATTTAGTTTTGATATTTTGCACCGAGGATCCGTAAGTGAGAACTCAGGGAGATAAAAAGCAAGATACACATGCTCCGGTAATTGTTAATAATTCAAAAACTTTTACCTACCCAGGGCAATCACCAATTCTGTAACTAATCAAACTATATGACTCCATTTCATTTCGATACAAAATATAACTGTTGATACAAAATTCCGTAACACGAAAGATTTCACGGGGACACGAACCAAAAATTCCTCTTTGAATTTGAATTGGACTGCATTGACTTAAGAGTTACTAGAACGAACCTCTATAAACTATAGTCCGTTAAAGCCTCTATAGACACCGCACCACGTCCATGGTGAGGGTTGCTGATTGGGAAGTCGCTCTGTGAAGGCACCGGTATAGAGCTCACAGCCTCGCGTAACATAAATATGCAGAAGCAGATTGCCAACATTAACCTGCACGTACTGTTCACTCGACTTTGATGATTTTTCTTTTCCGTAGTGGCTCTTCAACGATGCTTCCTGGGGCACTGTGCGCCTTCCTCTTCTCTTGCTTCTTTCTCTGAGATTCATTTTGTTCACGAATTTGCTTACCTGCCTTGTATATTGGTTTCGGTAGGTGCCTATGCCTGCACAATCACCATTCACAACAACAGATAGATGAGAAATACAGACTAAAAATGGTTGACCATTTTACATGTCAAAATACAATTCATTATTTTAACAAGAAATAACGATTATAATTCCATGTTCTCTGAAACAAACAAATAACAGCAGGCCTCATCCTTTTATACCTCACAATACGCTTGATTTCAGGAAGGTGCTTGTAGCGGTTTTTGACCGCCTCATGATACTCATGCTTTTTCTGTTCCCTTGGAAGAAGCTGCAGATGACAATAATTATAAGTTTATATCTGTGAGTTTCAAGCCTATATTGGTGATAGCGTGCATGGAAGAACAAAATTCCGTAGTCAAACCAATTTATGCATTCTTTCTTTTCAAAAAGAAGAAATTTACCCAACGAAATAAAAAACCATGCTAAAAATGTAATATACAAGTATGTAATGAGTGAATATCAGAAACAGGCAATGGAAGAATAACTCCCAAGTCCCAAGGTGAAAGTCGTGCTGTAACCCGAAAGGCAACAAAAAGACAAGGTAAAAAGGACATTTCTTACAACTCCCAATTGTTCTGATGCTTTAGACTTCCAAAGCCTAAGATTAGTATCATCACTCCCAGAAATAACATAACTACCATCGCAGCTGTACTTGACACAAAACACCCTACATAAAAAGCAGGAAGAGGGAAACATGAGTCAGACTATCGAAGTTAGTGACTCAACATAAAGCTATAGTGACGTGATTGGCATATGAAAGCTAACAGCATAGGTTCAATAAATATGAGCAATCAAATGAGAGAAGGAATGCATGAAAGTCAAACCTTTGCATTCTCTTCGTATGATAAATCTCCCGTTTGTGACCAGCATTATACGGGAAAATCATGATCTGCAAAGGATTTTTTTTTTTTTTAAAAAAGGACTAAGGCCATATTTACACAAACATTGATGAAATGGAATTTAATTGTATGTAAAAGGGAACTCACAGTTCTATCATAAGACCCAGTGACAAATTCTCGACCAGTTGGAGAATAATCAATATCCATCCTGAGGGGTAAAAAATGGAAGTTTGGTATACAAAATTTCCATACTAAAATATACTATAGGAAAAATGGATTTGAGGTGTGGGGAAAAAATCCAAATATTCCAATTGCAAAATTTTAAACTTACACAGCAGAAACATGATCCATGTGAACACACGTAGCTTCACCAAACTTTCTACAATCAAAGCTATAGCAGTTGGAATCCTCGTTTGCCTATAATTGAGGAATCAGATTAGAACCGCCACGGAATAGAATAAGAAAATGCTACACGAGGAAGAAGAAAGCCCACATATTTGAGCATTGGTGTGCTAATAGGCTTGTTCTCCAAAACTACTAATAAGGGTAACAATCAAAAGTAAAATATTTTTTGCTAACAAATGATTACAAGATTTTTTTACAATGACTACAGATCATATTACCAAGTTGCATTGGTAGAGCTAAAGTTTTATTCCAGAATTCAACTCTTAGACTCATATGTGATGATTAAACATCCTAAAACAATGAAAAGGATGCACAAAGATAATCTGGAGCAAATCCCTTATGTTCTACAGAGATAACAAATAAAAAATTCTGAATTTACATCCTTACAGCAGTGAAGTTGATTGGCTCCATTGGGTTCCAACAAATGGAATTGGTTCTTGTCTGTCAAAATAAAATGCAAGTTAGAAATACCATTAAGAGACCAACAAATATTGCTATTTTCTTAGCTCTCAAAACTTTAAAACCAAAACTGTAAACAATTGAAGGGATGAGCTGAACATCGATGATTTGGTATCAATACCCTCATTATAAACTTTGATGTTGGTTTTCCCATGCGCAAGTCATAAAGTGCTATGCTGCGGTCACTGCAACAGAAATCATATATTACTTTCTCTCCTAAAATACGATATTATATAACTTGTTAGAAAAGAAGCAAACAAATATGGAAAGATGAAATAAAATTGTTGCAGTATGAACAAATAAAAAAACAAAAAATTATGTTGTAACAGACAATCATTACAGCTTAACCTTCTTTTACACGAAAGCATTTGTTTTCCAAGAGTATTATATTAGTTCCATTCTTATTAAATAAAACACAAGCAACGGAATACTAAAATTAGAAAGCAAGGTATCCGAAACCACATGTAACGGAATACTAAAATTAGAAAGCAAGGTATCCGATACCAAACACCAGAATGAGTAGGCACATGGTATCTAATCTGTTTACCGTACAAGTTTTTATTACTAGTATTATTATACATATATTATCTACAAGCATCAATACATACCTTGCAGATGTTGCCAAGATATCGGGCTCTCCAGGATTAAATCGAACAGATACAACTGTGTCTGTGCCCCATTGGTAACTCTGCTCTGGTGCAGACCTATGCATAAAAACAATAAACAATAAAAAAAAATTGTCCACTTATGAGGGATAAAAAAATTATCATCTTCTTTAGTTAATAAAAGAATAACTATGCCAGATCAAAACCTGTTGTGGTTCCATATATCTACTCCAGCTCCCCCCGTAGCAAACCGATCAGAATTCCACTGGTGATCAACGGACCTTCAAATGAGAAGAATGTAAACCTAAATCTTAGGAACTTTGACAATCATAGGACATATCAATCAATTTGTAAGATCAACTAGAAAGTGTCATCTCTAATAATTCAGTTAGAAATTTACCGGAACGCATTCTTCCAAACATAAGTTTCCCGTGGCTGCGAATCATGTATAACCAGTTAGGTAGGTATAATGTGGACTACACATTCATTCAAAAAACATGTGACAGTATTAGGAAGGCAAATACTTGAGCAGACTTATCGGATGAGGCATCTTCCTCCAGAAGATTAGAAACAGGTACACTCCAAAGCCTAACACTGAAAAGGGAAGATAGTGACTTCATCATGGACAAATCTTCATTAACGGTACAAGAACTTAAGTTTGTAGAGGGGCAGGGGAATAAACAAAGGAGGTTATGCCTTACGTGCTATCAGTTCCACAAGACACAAGAACACGCCCATCCGTAGATACTGTTAAACCTTGGACAGCACCTTTATGACCAGGAAACCGACCAACTGTTCGCCTATGTTGAGTTCAATAATTACAGCAAATACAGTAAATTCCAAGTATTTATGGTATGGAAATGACAAAATGATCTATAAATATATATATATATATATATATATCTACAGTCTCCTTCCGCCAAGGGATCCCTCAAATAAGTTTACTTGAGGGATCCTTTTTAGGTCTTCCCTTCAAGTAAGCTCATTTGAGGGATCCCTCAACTGAAGGGAATATATCTATAATGATTCAAAAGCAGGGACATCAGGTCCAAGTCTCAATCAATTCATGTAATACTTCACATGAAAAAATCATAACTCACCTGGAAGCTAGATCCCAAAGCCGAATTTCTGCCAAAAAAAATGCACATGAATACAATTAGGGGTAGAGAAATTCAAACATATTCAAACTCTAAAAACTTAGTACCATATTATATTTTGCAAATACCAAAATTAATATAAGGATAAATTAGTGACGAAAGGAATTCGAAAATTTTAGAGGAAACAAAGTACCTCCATCCATTGAACCAGAAAATATTCCTATCAAGTGGTTTGGATTCTTTGCCATGCAGGAAATGGAATCTATATGTCCCTCCATTGCTCCAACAAACGGCCTCGCGAAAATCTAAATTACC